AATCGACGAGAAGATCAAGTCTGAGGTTCCCTGCCTCAGACTCCCTACTATATATATTAATACAATGGTGCACAGACCAGGTACCTATTGACCATCGTTTGGTCAGAGTTCTCTGCCTCATGTCCTACCCTCTGACCTGCCTCATGGCGACCTTACGACTAATACCTGAGTCGTGCCGAGTCCGGACCCCTCCCAATGAGTAAGCGCTCCTGCTGTCACATCAGTCACCTGCCTGTGAGTGAGGATGGGCGCTCCTGGCCGTCACGAGGTCTGGGGTTTGATCCTGGCCCCTCCACTTTCCGATACGAGTTGTCCGTGGTCAAGGTGAGCGTCTGTCCCAGTACACATGACCCTCAGGTCATGTGGCACGGGAAAACTGTGACAACCGGACTCAGAGCCTCCAACGCCAGTCCCGGTATCCATCCCTCTTCACTATCTCGAGCAAGACTTTGATTCTTTCTTTCGCGCTCCACCTCCATCGCAACCAGACGACTTCTTCAATCGTCATCTTCTACTCCATTCCCTCGTCATGTCGGACAAAGTCGACTCGAGCTCTCTCTCATCTCTCTCCAACATCAACCAGTACCCCAACTGGGCTGCGCAGATGAAGGGCTATCTGATCATGATTGGTTCCTGGACTGTCACCAACTCGGCACCCACTACTACGGCTACTACTGCAACGGCTGAAGAACTCAAGGAGCATGACCTTAAGGTTCAACGGGCCCAGGGTATCATCATGATGAAGGTCGATCGTTCACTCCATCGTCTCCTCGAAGATGATGCTGGCAATCCCAAGCAACCGCATGCGATGTGGAAGGCTCTCAAGGACACCTTTGGCACTCCTGACGCCGCTGCTGTCTGGTACAAGTTCGAAGGCCTTATCGCTTTGGATCGCATGAATGACCAGAAGCCCATCCAGCACCAGTTTGACCAACTCGTCACTCGTCTCAAGGAGATTAAGGATAGCGGCCTTGCACTCCCTGAGAACCTTTAGGCGATGCTTGTCCTGTCCAAGATCCCTGAGTCCTATCGCAACCTGATCTCTGGCCTCCTCACCTCGGTCGAGCTCAAAGACCTTAAGGTCGATACGGTTCGCGAGAAGACCCTCGCCTACGAGAACATCCAGAAGACGGGTATGGCAAACTGCACTTTGCCGACTCGTGTTTCTCAGACCAAGCCCAAGAAGAAAGGCCCTTGTGGTCACTGCGGCGGCAAGACTCACGATGAATCTTCTTGTTGGAAGAAGTATCCTGAGAAGAAGCCGAAGGGTAGGGGGAACAAGAAGGACGAGAAGGGTAAGGGAAAGGACAATGGACCTCCGCATAATCACTCGCACGCTACCGTCAATGAGTCTTCGTCAGCCAATGTACTAGTATCTACTACTGCTGAAGCTTTGCAATCGATCTCCGCTTCTTTCTACGGCTCGTCTTCGGACGATTATCGGTTGACTACTTGGCTGATGGACTCAGGTGCTTCGGAACACATCACTCCTTACTTCGATGACTTTGACACCTATGAGGAGTTTGCCTCTCCAATGGTCTTCGGCACTGCTGCGGCCGGTTCGCTGCTTTATGCGCCCGGTGAAGGCACTGTTCGTGGCCGTACATGGGTCGAAGGCTCTGGTTGTGTCAATACCACCATTAGCCATGTCGTTTATCTTCCGAATGCATCGTGCCGGCTCTTCTCCTGCGGAGCCGTTGAGCAGAAAGGCCATACCCTTGTTGCGGGTGGAAAGCTCTGTTCTATCTTCCCTCGGTCGCTCTCTGAAGCACCGAAAACTGGTATGACGATTGAAGGAACTAAGATACTCGAGGGGAAGTACATCGAAACCTCGAATGTCTACTACATGTTCCTCCAAATTCCTGCGAAGGGCGACGCAAAGGCTTCTGTTCAGCCGGCTGTCACTGACTACTGGACGTGGCATCGTCGACTTGGACATCCCTCCAAAGAAGCTATTTCGCGTCTGCCTGCAAACTCTAAAGGTGTCGCGGCGACTAGGCGCGTAGACTCGGGTCGACGTTCGGCGACGACCTCGTAGGCGAGCGGCAAGGAGCCGAAAGGGAAAGAGGGAGATAAAGAGGGATAAACGTAGCAAGAAACTCGCCGAGGGCAGAGCAGAGGTCGGCACGAGGGCACGAGACCTGCGAAAGCTAGTCTTCACACAGACAGCAACAGACTAGTCCCAATGACCAAGTTATGCATTAGCAAACGAAGGGAGATACAACGCTATGGCCACTCACCTAGTCCCAATGACCAAGAGGTCAAGATGGGGACTAGGGAGCGCCTAAGGGGGTCCTTATATACTAGAGGGGCTGCTTAGCAACCAAAGACAAGGCGCGAGAGCGAGGCAGTGAAGATGACAAAGGAAGAACAAAGGGCGAGAACAAAAAGGCAAGGGCATGGCGATCACGGGAACGTAGCATGCGGCTGTGGGAACGTATCTACAGTGTCCAAATTGGGATGGGCTAGGAAAGGAAATGGTCCGCGAATGGAAGGTGGGCGTCAAAGGGAGGGGAATGGGCGGCAAAAAGGGGCATCTGTCCAACGTCCGTGACAAAAGGTGTTGATCATATTGATCCTCCGCCCACTAACGCACCTGTCTGTGAAGGCTGCGAGTGGGGCAAGTCTCATCGACTACCATCTCCTCCCTCTGAGAAGTGTGCCACCGTCCCTTGCGAACTCATTCATACTGATGAGGATGGACCCATGGGCACGGAATCGATCAACGGACACAACCTTCATTACGTCTCGTTTCTTGATGACTGTTCTGGTGTTGGGCGCACGTACTTTCTTCGCCACAAGA